GTTTTCTTGTTTGCGATGTGAGTTTGGTTCAGTTGTTCTCTGATCCTTCACTGTTCCATGAGCTCTTACGCGCGATGATGGCTGGCGTGTTCACACTATTGCACGGTTTCGAAGGTACCTATTTTCGAATCGCGTTCGTTGAGTTGATAAATCTGGTGTCTCAAGAGCCTCTTCTGTTGAAGCCTTACGTGAGTGACATGGTTCTCGACGCGCTTCAGATCGCGGAGAGTGAGGGTTTGACCAATGAAACGCATCGTTTGGCGTTTGAGTTGGTTATGGCCATGACTGAGGTAAAAGAGTACGGTGAACACGTGTTGCTAAACCTTCCTTCTCAAACTGTGGTTAGGTTGTTCCTCGTTAGAGAACATCTCCCTTATTTGCAACAACCATAAGCACGAAGGAAAGTTCTCACATTTGGGAATTAGGTTTTTGACTATTTTTTGTGTTTTCAATAACCCAAAACACAAGAGTTTAATAAACCTTCATATTCCATAACTATAGACCTTTTATTCATTTGGTTTCATGATTGTTATTTTCATGAGTTAAGTGTATATCCTTTTAAATAACACAAGCATCTTATACCAAGATAAAAAAAAAATTCTAGTAGGTAACATGCATGATCCCTTATTCATAGTACTTGAACTCGATTCAATAATAATAAGCCAGTCTCATGCTGTCACAGTTGGATGACTAGGTACTATGCTGGGTTCGACATAAGGGTTACTCATCCAAATATTTATGTGAAAATCAAGAGAATCATTGTGAACCAAACTTGCCAGCAAATATACCGAGTGAAGAATACCCAACAGACATGAACTCAAAAGGGATTATCAATACAGAGACTATCAGATCATATAATAATTATTTGAACTTTCTAATTATGAAATGGTAGAAAACAACCTCATCATCTTAAAAACAAAATCTTTATTCTTTGCAACAGTTGCATTTCATATATATTAATAACGGACATAATAACTTTTTTGAAAACAATGAATTAGAAGACTTACTGTGTTAATTGCTGGTGAGGTTTACTATGAGAGAGAGAGAGAGAGAGAGAGAGAGAGAGAGAGAGGGTCTCACACTGTCTAACCTTTGTTTATTCATTTTATCCTATCTAATGCATGATTTCTTATCTTATGGGAGGAGCTGGGTTAGGATTCAATAGGATAGAATATCAATATTGGATACCCAATAAATTTCCACGTTACACAATATATTTGTATTTATTGCATTATATTTTATTTTTTCTTTCTCTTTTCTCCTTCAACATAATCTTATCAGATTACTATAAATATATTGAATAGCGTGGGGATATATTGGGTATTCAATATTTTTATTTTATTCCGTTGAATCCTAACCTAGTTCCTCCATAAGATAAGAAATATTGAATAGGATAAAATGAGACAATAGTATAAACTAATCATATCTTATTGATTCACCAAACATGAGTTAAAAGTAAAAAATATGATATCTTCTTGATCTAGTCCTCCAAATAAGCGAATAAGGTATCCTAATTAAAAGCACACAATTATTTATCAAAAAAAAAATCACACAATTTGATGTACTTTGAAAGTACAACCAATGATCCCGATATATTAACACAAAACAGTTTTTGACTTTTACAGATATTGCGTAAGAGTCTTTAATTTTGAAAAGCCATCTTAAAATCAGACCTTTTTTCGTCATTTAAGAATACAAGGATATGTTTGGAGCACCTGATAAAGAAGATAGGATAGGATAGTTTACTATATCCTATTTTTATCTCTTGTTTGGTGAGTCAATAGGATATGATTAGCTTATCCTATTGTCTCATTTTATCCTATCCAATGCATGATTTCTTATCTTATGGGAGGAGCTGGGTTAGGATTCAATAGGATAGGATATCAATATTGGATACCCAATAAATACCCACGTTACCCAATATATTTGTATTTATTGCATTATATTTTATTTTTTCTTTCTCTTTTCTCCTTCAACATAATCTTATCAGATTACTAATCAGGTGCTCATCAAACACAGGAGGCTTATCAGCCCCATATCATATCCTACCCTTATCAGCCTCATATCATATCCTACCCACCAAACGAGCCCAAAAAGTTTTCTATATATATAAGGCAACCCTTGCATGTCAATGTAAACATTCAGCAAGAATCCAAAACCTTCCAAACCACACCAAGAAAAAGAAAAAGAATCCAAAATCTTCCGAATCCAAAACCTTTCTTCTGATAGTGATGGAGTCAGAGGTCCCAAGACTCGTTTTCTATGTCCTCGCTGAAACCGTTTCCGCTATATACAAAACTCATCAACACTGGCCTCAGATTCTTGAATGGCTTGTGTCGTCTATCGCTTCAAACGACGACGACAAGTTTCGTGAAGTCGCGCTGTTGGTTTTGTGTTCGTTGCCAAACGATTGTTGTTTTCTTGTTTGCGATGCTCTCCGCGACCGCCGCCGCCTTCTTCATTCGTCGTTCTTGATTTCTCTGGCGTCGTCGAACCCTAACGTTCAGGTTGCGTCGTTTGGTGCGGTTGTGAGTTTGGTTCAGTTGTTCTCTGATCCTTCACTGTTCCATGAGCTCTTACGCGCGATGATGGCTGGCGTGTTCACACTATTGCACGGTTTCGAAGGTACCTATTTTCGAATCGCGTTCGTTGAGTTGATAAATCTGGTGTCTCAAGAGCCTCTTCTGTTGAAGCCTTACGTGAGTGACATGGTTCTCGACGCGCTTCAGATCGCGGAGAGTGAGGGTTTGACCAATGAAACGCATCGTTTGGCGTTTGAGTTGGTTATGGCCATGACTGAGGTAAAAGAGTACGGTGAACACGTGTTGCTGAACCTTCCTTCTCAAACTGTGGTTAGGTTGTTCCTCGTTTCTATGAAAATGCTTCTGTGTATTGAAGAGGATGGTGGTGTTGGTGACCATGACCATGACCATGACTTTGGAATAAAGTGTTTGAAACAACTTTGTGTTACACTTGGAGGGAGTAAAGTATTGGCAATTGCTTCTGAACTGTTGCCTCTTTACTTGGATTCCAAGGAATGGAAGAAGCGCCATGCTGGAATTACACTGCTTACTGTGATCTCAAAAGAGTTCTCTGATGAAATGGTGACCTCATCATCTTAACACCTCTCTTTGCTTTCATATATATTAATAACTTTTTGACTTAATTGCTGGTGAGGTTTACTACTTTCTCACACTGTCTAACCTTTGTTTATTAATTACATTTTTGGCAGGTATTGATGGAAAATTTTCTTGGGGAAGTGCTCTTGCATCATGTTAAAGCTGATTATTATGATCTACAAACATTCCATTCATTAGGGGATTAATTCTTCATTTCACTATAGTTTTTTGGTATGCCACTCATGACTATATAAACAAAGGAGCAAGTCATTATTGTTATTATCATCAGCATGTGTGTCTTCTTTATCTTATTTTTCAAACATGTCATTATTATAGCAGTTAATAATCTTAATAATCTTGTGTTTCTTTTATAGGAAAAAGCTGCCTCAGCAATGCTATTCTTTCTAAGGAACACTCTTCCAGAGAGCTTAACTATGTTCAAGGACGTGGACACCGAAATGGGCAAATTGTTGTCATTGCTTCAGGTAAAAATTACAATCTTTTTTTATGCAGGAATTCAGTGTCTGTGGAAAAGTTCTCGGATAATATTTATTACTACCAATAAAGTAGGAATTATCTTTCTTACATTTTCCTTTAGAAATTTTCATCAAGGCTCATAATATTCTAGTTTCCACCATTGTGATATGCTTATTTGATGTTTTTCAGCCATCTGCTTGCAAAGAAGTGTTAAGCAAAGAAGAATTGCTTTGTCAACTTTCAACTTAGTTGCACAGCGGTGTCATGAAGTAGCTCACAAGTAGTCTTGGCGAGAGGATTTTGTTATTAGTAAATCACAATTATTTAGTTGTATTCACATGCCCTAGTTTGCATCATGGTACCATTTTCTTCTTTTTTGTCACCTTTTCCTACACCTCTTAACGTGCACATCTAGACAGACCAGAGGGAAATCATATGTGTTTGCCCTCAGCAGTTTTTTAATTAAATATCTTTAACATCTCAAAAAAAAAAAAAAAAAAATATTGAGGACAATGAAAAGCACTGTGCTGGAATCTCCGTTAACTCTGGTCCAGGACACGATCATCCGTTAACCTAGCTTACAAGCACTGTGCATGTTTCTGATTTTTGTTTTTTTTAACATTATCCTCCGGTAATCTTATAGGTTCCCAACTAATTTGGAGTTCAAGACGGATTTAGAATTAGGATTTTAATCCCCTTTCAAAAATAATATTAAAAAAAATCTAACACATATTTGTATCCTCACTTGTTCAACTTCCACACGTCAATTATTGCATGCTTTTGATTTTGTTTGAACGAGCCCACTTTTGTCTAAATATTAGTAATAAAAACTAGTTTTTGGGACTTCTACCTACAGATCAGGATAATTGATTCTTGCCTCATCTATGACCAACAATTTTATCAACGTAGGGGTATTAATTTGTCTCCAGCAACCTTATTTGAATCAATACAATACACTTATTTATTTAAATACGGGTATTAATTTGTCTCCAAGCTCCAGCAACCTTATTTGAATCAATACAATACACTTATTTATTTTCTCTCCATGTGCCGGGCGCAACGTCGTTTAACTTCTTGTTCTTTTTGTTAATATATACAGTAGCTTGTAATTAATTCAGTTAGTTAGAAGTCTGTTAGTTAGATGTTAGTTATTTCTGTTATTTACAGTTAAAGAGTCTTTGCTTCCGTGCTTTAGTTTGATTGCTGTTGTATATATATCAGCAATGTAACCTTGAGAATTCATTAATACATTCAATCTTTTTCATCTTTTATCTAGTTTTCAATATGGTATCAGAGCTCATCTAGAGCTCTGGTATTCACCCTCTCTTGTTCCCAATTCTTCTCAAAAGATTTTCCTTCTTCTTCCTTTCGAAATTTTCTGTTTTCTTTTCATCAATCAAGAAAATGGAAGATGCAGCATCCGCACCAACTCAAAGAGCAGTACCAAACCAGAATACAACACCAGCACCAGAATCCAATCCCTATTACCTACATCCCAATCAAAGCTCATCGCTGGTCTTAGTATCTCCTTCAATGAATGGAAAGAACTTCCACACATGGCAAAGATCAATGCGTATGGCACTCCTATCAAAGAACAAGCTTGGTTTTGTTAATAGAACAATCAAGAAACCAGATGCTGACAGTCCTCTATTTGGTTCATGGGAAAGGTGTAACACTATGATAATTTCTTGGCTCAATCGATCCATCTCAGAATCCATTGCACAATCAGTGCTTTGGATGGAGAAAGCAGATGATATATGGAACAACTTGAAAGACAGGTTTGCTCAAACTGATATGTTTAGAATTTCTGATCTTCAAGATGAAATTTTCAAATTGCAGCAAAGAGACAAATGTGTTTCAGATTACTTCACCCAATTAAAGATTTTATGGGATGAATTAGAAAGCTTACAGCCAATTTTACCATCTTGCGCATGTGGAGCAGCAACACAAGTAAAGGATACTCGTGAAAGGGACTATGTAATAAGATTCTTGAAAGGGTTAAATGACCAATTTGAACATGTGAGAGCTCAAGTAATGCTATTAGACCCTCTTCCATGTTTTAACAAAGTATTCTCATTGATTATTCAGCAAGAAAGGCGCCTGAAAATAGGAGTCCAAGATTCACAATCTTTCATCAATATTGTTGAACAACAAAATTCCAGAGGACAACTAGACAGAGGACAGACTCGATATCATCCAAATTTCAATCAGAACTTCAACCAAGGTTTCAATCAAGGAAGAGGCCAAGGTTTTAATCAAGGAAGAGGCCAAGGTTTCAATCAAGGAAGAGGCCAAGGTTTCAATCAAGGAAGAGGTCGTGGAAATAAGTTTTGCACATATTGCAAGAGAACAAACCATACCATCGAGACATGCTATCTCAAGCATGGATTTCCACCAGGATACCAAACCAGAAGACCATATGCTGCTGTTGCTGCTACAAACTTTGTTTCACTAGAATTTGATGATAGTGTACACAATACTGATCCAGAACCTGAACCAGAATCTCTGAATCTTGCCTTTTCAAAAGAACAACATCAAGAAATTGTGGAACTTCTACAAAGATCAAAGCTGCCTCACTCATCCAATATGATTCAAACCCACTCATCTGCTTTCAATATAGGTAACACAGTATCAGGTATAAAATCAAACCATTGGATTCTGGACACTGGAGCTACAAATCACATCACATATATTTTCTCTAATCTTTCATGTGTCCAATCCATAAATCCCATACACATCACACTTCCAAAAGGCACTCAAATTACCACAACACAATCAGGCACAGCAAGAATTTCTGATTCTTTAGTTCTTAAAAATGTTCTCTATGTACCATCCTTTCGTGTCAATTTGATTTCAGTAACCAAACTTCTTCAAGACACCCAATCCTACATTCTTTTTCATGACTTAACTTGTTTCATCCAACAGATATCAACCAACCAGACGATTGGTTCAGCTAAACAATTAGATGGACTCTACATATTGAAGACACATGAAGGATCTGTAAAGAAAAGTTTCTGCAATAAAGTGAACTCCAATGATGCATTGATATGGCACCAAAGACTTGGTCATCCTTCTGAACTAGTCATGAAGACCATGTCCATCTACTTCCCTTTCATTTCATGTAATAAAATAGATCCCTGTGATATATGTCATTTCTCAAAACAAAGAAAATTACCTTACATTTCTAGTACAATCAAAACTACATTTCCTTTCCAATTAATACATACTGACATTTGGGGTCCCTTCTCCACAACTTCTTTACATGGCCATCGATATTTCTTAACAATTGTAGATGACTATACACGTTTTACATGGGCTATTCTTTTAAAGAACAAAGCTGAGGCACGAAACAATTTAAAACACTTTACTACCTATGTTGAAAATCAATTCAAATCCTCCATAAAAATCATCAGAAGTGATAATGGAGCTGAATTCCTTATGACTGATTTCTATCTCTCAAAAGGGATTGAACATCAACGTTCTTGTGTTGAATCACCCCAACAAAATGGGGTTGCAGAACGTAAACACCAACATATCCTTAATGCAGCTCGTTCTCTTTTCTTTCAAGCCAAATTACCACTTAGCCTATGGACCTATGCAATTTCTCATGCCATACATGTAACAGCCCGTTGTACACCAGTATTGTTAACATTAATTATGATATTAAGCGCAATTACAATCACAACAGTTCATTTATAAAAGTGAGAATAAACTTTTTCCGATTATTACGCGAGCATTTAAAACATAAAAAGGCGTAATAATTAAAAGCTGTGACCGTAACTGTAAACTCTTGCGGAATACTTATTTGAACTACTTCTATGTCTTATTTTACTTATCATAAGTTACTACGGGGTTCCCATAAACCCACTTAGCCAATTACTAACTTTTACGTTTTTACTTACCCGAACATGGTTCACTAATTAAATTACTGCGAATGCACCACAAAAATTCAGACCTTCCACTCAGGTTATATTTTTTTCTTACTTAATTCCCTTTCTAAAAAGCTATCACACGCTATGATCGGAGCACGTTTGCTCCGGATATCGCCGTTTGAAGTTGGATAAGCAAAACAGCCAACCAACCCCAAAACAGCTCAAAACCTCTCTCACTCCTCGAATTACTGCAGAAAATTCACTCATCAAATTGCTCTCAAATTTTTATTCTACAAACTAGACACCTCAATCTTCGATTTGATATATCATACGCTTAATTTGACCAAGAAATGAAGCAGGAATAAAATTCCCAAAACTGGACCAAAACAGCCCCCAAGTGCAGGGCAAAACAGGGCAGTTGTGTTCACTGACTCCCATAAGGTTGCGCACAACCTATAAAATTCTAATATTTTTACACAATGTAGGGGAAATCTCAAGCTTCAAAACGGCGTATGGCACGTCCCTATCGGACCTCTATGGAGGGAGATATGCTCTCCCGAAGTTCACCTAAAATCTGTCAATTCTACAGAAAATTCGCCAGAGTTTCCTTTGTTTTTCCTTAAATCCCCAAATTTACATAAGCTTGCTAATACCACAAATATACCTAATAATCCAATGGGTGGCACACACAAGGACCAGCAATGCCTTGGGGCTCTTACAACCCACAATATACAACAATTCCATATCATATACAGTAGTATACATACATGATCCATAACTCTATATATATCATATCAAAAGGTGGCTATGTGTCATAACTACAACATCCTACATCAACCTACATAAACATAATACATCACAGTGTACATATAAATACGACAGACTCCCAAAATAAGCAGGCATCAGCTATGCTCAGATCTACTCATCAACCACGGGCCTCTTGCCCCGAGAACGATCGTCAACTGCTGCGATACCTGAAATATGTCCCCATAACGCGGGGTGAGAATGAATCTCAATAAACTTGGGGTTTATGGAGCAGTCTCCACCCAAGAGTCCACTTCCTACAAGAAAATATCAAGTACCAAGACATAGATAACACCATATAATCCATATTAGAATTTCCGTATCATATATCTTTTCTGATAATTCTAATTTATTCTTATAACGTACTTTCTTATTAATCTTAAGTGTGTTCATGTCTTATGTATAAATAAGGCTTTCGTCTTATATTCGTAATATTGTATCACATTCAATAGCATACTCATAATGATCAGAGAACTAAAGTTTCCTCGGCTATACCTTGTGTATACCGTGATCATATCCATAATTGTTTCCTCTGTTCAGAAACCGTAACTTACACTTCCAAGGCTTTATTTCATTGAAGATCATATCATATTAACATAACATAAATAATATCATATGCATGCACTATATGAATGCAACTACGCAAGTATCAATATTAACAACAATTATATCCATACGGAAACCATAATCGCCACTGATCATGGCGGAACAAAAAGGCTGAGAAAACTCCTAAACCGAAAGCTTACCTGTCACCTCTTTCCTGCTGCTAACTTGCTATTTAATACACCGTAACTTGGTTGTCTACAAGTTGTTCGTCCACCTACTTCGTCCGATTTCACTCTGTTACCGTACATATAAAAGTACCATAAATTTCCAATGAAATATACATTACTTGAAATCCGAATAATTATATTTCATATGTTAATTTCATAACCAACTTGACAACTTTATTTCCCTTGACAGTTCATGCCATCCCATAAGTTTACAACGTAACTTATACTTCATAACTTAGACTCCCAACTAGTTAATTAATTTACTAATTTATAGTTAACATTTCATACACTTTTAACAAAGCTTCACGTATCTTAAACCATTTGAATCATACTTACTTATTCTAGAAAAATGCTATAAATCAATCACTTGAATTAAAAACACCCAATCTATGCCCATTCTTTCCTTCATGGCCGAACTCAATATATAAACATATATACAATTCTTTCGTTGCCATACTTAACCAATTAACTTGATTCTCATACAAATATTTATTACATAAAATTTCCGTTAACTTCACATAACTAACATCATAATATTGAACCTCACATAACCTAAAAAAAAACATCTTCAATGATCATATACATATATATTTTCCTTTAATCTTGACAAAGTCCTTACCACCCTTCGTTGTGTAATTGTAACTACTCCGAGTTACTTTAGATTATATTTAACTTTTCTTTCTTTTTTTTTTCTTTTTTTAACACAACCACCACTTATTAACCTAATCTTAACTCATTAGGTTATGCCTTCACTTAACATACTATACTCACAATCCAATTATAAAATCATTACTGATAATCAACATTGATGTCTTTCAAGCATCAACTTAATCACCAGTATCTTACTTAACAGATTTGACATAAAATAGGTCTAATGACCTTTTCACCAATTAAACCATATTCCATCTTGATTTATTATATCAAGTGGACCCTAAACTACACTAAAACAACAACACTCACATTCATGCCATCCATTATCAACTACATTGAGAATTTAAAGTGGAATTATATATGATAAAGACAAGAATCAAACCCACATCATAACTAACGTGAATAGAAGATCAGCTGTGTCAATTCTTATTGACAAGTATACCATTATTTTCTTCTTTGGCTTCCCCAACTTTATAACAAATAGTATATCCAAAGCACCAAATTGATTAGCTTCCTATTACACCTACTTTTTTTTTACGTGTCCTCTTTCTACTTATTAAAAATTACACCTGGAAGTCTTCTCAACTATATTTGAAAGCACAAGTAATAAATAATCATCTGAGATAACAACCAAATTGCATCTTCTTCTTTTTTAATAATGCGGCTTTTGAAGCACCTAATTAACTTTCTAGTTGCAAGTTCTGTTTTTTTTTCCTTTCCTATCATTATAGATTACTTTGTTCATCAACGATATATGTTCCAAACATCTTCTAAACATATTTTTCAAGACTTAGAGATTTACCCCTCCTATTTTACCATTCATGGCCGAATGGACTATATAAAGGGGTATATGAATTTTCTTTGAACCTTCACTTAATATATATTAAACCAATAATCATTTGGTCCATTTAAATCATAGTTCCATTTATGCATTTTAACAAACACTTAGTCTGCACTATTTTCCCTCACTTGGCTGATTAGGTCTTTGTACGTATATCAAATCCTTTTACTCATTTTGAGCATTTCCATGTTTAGTTTAACATAGAATCAACAAACAACCAATAACCATGCACAAAACCCCTTAAATAATTATGATATCTTGCATCCATAATCAGCCCTCATCATAGAAAACACTTGCTTATAACAAAATTTCCAGCCATTATAATTTAGGTGCATTACCTTAAATAGCTTCACTTGAACATAAACAGCATATTCCAACTTAAGGACTTGAAGAAAACCCAACTTCTACATCTTGGATGAACAGTACCAGCCCGCTTTAGAGAAGGCTAACTCAAGATATAAAACTTTCCAAGGTGAAAAGAATGGAGATTTAGGATCACAAGACCTAAAGCTATAAGTTTTGTATGATAAAATTTTACTAGTTTTGCCTAAATCTTCAAGAAATTCCTTGCCCTTTTTCCTTAGCAAGCTTCGGCCTTCATGAGAAGAAAGGAAAGAAAAGATGAGCGTGAGAGACCAATCCCAAGGGGCTACCGACTTGTAACCTTTATGCTTAAATTCTATTGGATACCTAATTGACTTCTTAACATGCTTAAGAAAGAAAGTGACGTGGGATATGTGAGGCACACACCATCAACCGACTTTTGGAAGAAAAAAAAAAAAAAGGGAAAGATCATGTAACTTACATATTCACCTAATTGACTTTTCAACCTACACTTCCATTGGCTCACTTAAAAGCAAGAAAAATAACAACTAACGTAAATTTTGAAGTCAAAAGAGAGTTACCCACTTTGATGTTACAATTAACCAAGTGACTATGTTAGTTTACTTAATCAACTTTGTAACTTTTAAATTAAATGTTATAGGTTCATTTTTACTACATCTTTTACTTAATTTTAATTATTAATCTAATCATCATTTAATTAATTTTAAGATACTTTGAAGTCACTAATTTTTCTAAACTATTTAATTATACATTCTAATCCATGTTTAGGCTTATTTTGTCTAATTACCAAAATAACTCTAACTTACACCATCATGACATTGATATTTTTAATCATATCTAATAATTATTTTTGGATCCATTAGACTATATTCTCTTATTATTTATCACATGAGTCTATCAATTTAACTCTCACAATTTCATTGCATAAGTATTTAATCTAGTTAACCACCTAATTAATTCATTTCCCTTAATTTACTAATGAGGGTTGTTATAATACACATCATAAACAGAACCTGCACACCACTTTTAAATAACAAACCACCATATGAACTCCTATACAACAAACCACTATCACTTGAACATTATGTGTCTGCTCTAATTTCCGAATTTTAGCCTAAATGTTGTGTGTAACCCGTGAATTAATTCTTTATACATGCATTCAGATGTGATGAGTATTTGATATGGCCAACATCACTTGTTTGATGTTCTGTCTATTCTTTTCTTAATTGACCCTAATTAAGCGAAGATTCCTTCAGCAAATTTTTATTTTTACTTTTATTTTTTACAGAAAAATGTCAACACTACTGAATCTAGTTTATTCGCTCAAAAGTGCCAGACTGCCAGCAATTGAGAAAAAGATCGACAAGGATTATAAGAACAAAACAATAGTCGATGAATTTAAGTGTGGTCGATCTGCATTTCAAAGGAATAAATTAAATATGATACATCAAATACCTTAATTTTAGGTTGAGATGTAATATCAAATCCCTATCATATTCTTTCTTTATTCAGTGCATTTCATATATTTAAATAAACTTGTTAATTATTTTAATTCACTCAAAGTGATCATCGTATATCTCATTCTTTTAATTCTTTAGCAGTTGTATTTTGTTTCTTTAATTCCCGTGGTTGACATATTAAGTTTACTTATGCATGCTAGTTAATGAAGCTCCTCTTCCTTTATCAATTCATAATAAATTAATGATGACAGGAGCAAAAATGTGTAACTCAAATTCTGATAAGGTTGTTATGTACAAAGTTGATTCTCCGACACATAAAGCCAATTGTATGAGAGAAGGTTATATTATTGGGTAATATATTTGTCATTTAAACAGGAAAATAAAAAGTTTTCCTGCATAGACAGCAATCAAAAGAGAGAGATAGCAATCAAAGAGAGAGAAACAAAAATTAACGAGCTCTTCATCTATTGTTGTATGTGCATGAAATTCTTTTATTTTCCTCCTACATAATAAATATGGGTTTATTTTTTCTAAAGTTACTTTAGATAACTTTATGTCATGTTCACCAAAACGACGTCGTTTTGGAGCGGAAATCATGGTGTTTTTGTAATTTTAATTTATTTCAGGGTTATAATAGTCTTTATCATTCTATTTTTTTAATTTTTCAACCATAAAACTACGTCGTTTCAATGAACATTAGACAAAGTTGTCTAAAGTAACATTAGATACTTTTTTCCCCAATAAATATAGGGATTAAAGTTTCTGCTGTAACTTTACATAAGAGTGCCTGCTGTGCTGTTAAACGGTGTCGTTTTGGTCTTTTTTTAAAAATCAAATTACTTACTGTGCAACTCTTCTGTATTCATCTCGTTCGCATGCCAGTTTCTTTTTTCCCTTAATGGCAGTGTGATATTAAGGGAAAAAGCGTTGGAAAGATCAACCAGGAAGGCACTCGCTTATGCCCTACTGCAATTAGGTAATGCCATTTTAAATCTTTGCGGAAGTCTACCTCTTGTTCCCCCCTCTTCTTAGATGGGGCGAATCTTTTTAACTCTTCGATTGTCATATTATGGCGTTCGTTTACACCAGTTATTTATATTATGCATTCTATAGAATAGACTATAAGTTAACTGTTCAATCGTGCATTTAGCATCATGTAATATTAACTTTATTGCATTCCATTTTTTTTTTGTTATTGTCGCCATTTTAATTGGGTTCCGCGATCACCCACTCCGACCAAAACATGTCATTCTCTCGATGCGATTAATTCATATGTCAGTAAAGATAGTCAAATTACTGAATGATCTTTCCAACGCTTTTTCCCTTAATATCACACTGCCATTAAGGGAAAAAGAAACTGGCATGCGAACAAGATGAATACGGAAGAGTTGCACAGTAAGCAATTTGACTTTTAAAAAAAGACCAAAACGACACTGTTTAATTGCACAGCAGGCACTTTTATCTAAAGTTACAGCAGACACTTTAATCCCATAAATATATTATCCTATATTATTTTACCTTTTTTTGTCCTAAGTATTGGGTGATAGGTTTTAAGAGTTGGCTTTTTAACCAACTGTGACCCTACCCACAATGAAGGAAACTAGCCAGACATGGTCATAGCTGAATTACAATGATTCATAAAAGAAGAATAAGAATTCAAAAGGAAGAGAAAATAATCTCCAAGATCAATCTCCGCAAAAAGCTCCAGAAGTTCTTTTCAAGCTCTCCCTCTCTATCATTTTTGTCTTCTGATCCCCCTTTTTAATTTTGCACGCACGCGTTCAAAACACGGTGTCTTCCTGCTCGAAAACCGGCGCTGATGGCGCCTTTTTGTACTGAATTTGAATTAATCCACGCTATCAGCGCCGGTCATACTTCTTCCGCGCTGATGGCGCGGATTTTTCACTGAAAATGCATTTATTCCGCGCTGATAGCGCCGCCCATCTGATCCAAATTTTCCTTCTGCGCAAATTCTCATTTTTCATGCTAAATTCCTATCCAAATATAAACTTGAGTGAGAAATAACATTGAAAATGAAAAACTAACAATTAATCCATAAAATGTATTGATAAGTATGCTCTTTTGACCTTAAAGCTTAGTATTTTAACTTGGAAAATCAAATATATTACAACCACATCACCAACCAAACAGTAAAACAGCTAATGAATCTAGATAAATAAAAGAAAATAATCTTTTCTAATACAATTGACTTTATAGGTGAATTAGCTTTGCACATAAGAATCTTATCAGAAATTGAGTTATCAACACATTTTTGCTCATGTCATCATTAATTTATTTTCAAATGATAAAGCAAGAGGAGTTCCATTAACTAACATGCATAAGTAAACTTATATGCAGTTGCGGAGCCAGCCCAATAATTTAGGTGGTGCCAGAAAATTTGACATATTAAATTATTAAAATATTTATTAGGAAAAAAAATTTAATATGAATTGTAGCATAATGATCTAAATTATGTACTAAATAATATCACATAACATTGAAAATTCAAATGAACAATTATCATTGATTATATATCAAATAAAAAATATAAAAATACACTAATCTTTTCGGTAAGCATTTCAAACATAAGAATTTCACTTTTCTCCTACAACATAATAAGTAATGAACCAAACATTGTTATTTGCAACAACCATAAGCACGAAGGAAAGTTCTAACATTTGGGAATTAGGTTTTTGACTATTTTTTGTGTTTTCAATAAC